TGAGCCCATTTCCAATAAGTAGAAAAAAACAATGGTCAGTTCTTACATAGGACATCCCATACTATGTACTTGACATGAAACTTTCTTACTGCACTGTTTTGAAGAAATGGGGTATTAACATAATATAAAGTACTATAAAGACCCCATTTCCAATAAGTAGAAAGAAACAATGGTCAGTTCTTATTCAGGACATCCCATACTTTATGTGTACTTCACATAAAAAACTTTTTACTGCACTGTTTTGGAGAATTGGGGTAACAACCTAATATAAAGTGCTATAAAGACCGCATTTAATATAAGTAGAAAAAAAGAATAGTCAGTTCTTATACAGGACATACCATACTATATGTGTACTTCACATGAAACCTTTTTACTGCAGCATTTTGGAGAAAGGGGGTATTAATATAATATAAAGTCCTATAAAGACCCCATTTCAAATAAGTAGAAAAAGACAATGGTCAGTTCTTATACAGGACATCCCATACTATATGTGCACTTCACATGAAACATTTTTACTGCAGCGTTTTTGGGAAACAGGGTATTAACTTATGATAAAGTGCTATAAAGAGCCCATTTCCAATAAGTAAAAAAAAAACAATGGTCAGTTCTTACATAGGACATCCCATACTATGTACTTGACATGAAAATTTCTTACTGCACTGTTTTGGAGAAATGGGGTATTAACATAATATAAAGTACTATAAAGACCCCATTTCCAATAAGTAGAAAGAAACAATGGTCAGTTCTTATTCAGGACATCCCATACTTTATGTGTACTTCACATAAAAACTTTTTACTGCACTGTTTTGGAGAATTGGGGTAATAACCTAATATAAAGTGCTATAAAGACCCCATTTTAAATAAGTAGAAAAAGACAATGGTCAGTTCTTATAAAGGACATCCCATACTATATCTGTACTTCACATGAAACCTATTTACTGCAGCGTTTTGGAGAAAGGGGGTTTTAACATAATATAAAGTGCTATAAAGACCGCATTTCAAATAAGTAGAAAAAAACAATGGTCAGTTCTTATACAGGACATACCATACTATATGTGTACTTCACATGAAACCTTTTTACTGCAGCATTTTGGAGAAAGGGGGTATTAACATAATATAAAGTGCTATAAAGAGCCCATTTCAAATAAGTAGTAAAAAACAATGGTCAGTTCTTATACAGGACATCCCATACTATAAGTGCACTTCACATGAAACATTTTTACTGCTGCGTTTTTGGGAAACAGGGTATTAACATATGATAAAGTGCTATAAAGAGCCCATTTCCAATAAGTAGAAAAAAACAATGGTCAGTTCTTACATAGGACATCCCATACTATGTACTTGACATGAAACTTTCTTACTGCACTGTTTTGGAGAATTGGGGTAATAACCTAATATAAAGTGCTATAAAGACCGCATTTCAAATAAGTAGAAAAAAAGAATGGTCAGTTCTTATACAGGACATCCCATACTATATGTGTACTTCACATGAAACCTTATTACTGCAGTGTTTTGGAGAAATTGTATAATATTATATTTCAAAGTGTTATAAAGACCCCAATTTAAATAAGTAGAAAAAAACAATGGTCAGTTATTATACACGACATTCCATACTATATCTCTACTTCACATGAAACCTATTTACTGCAGCATTTTAATGAAATGGGGTATTAACATAAAATAAAGTGCTATAAAGTCCCCATTTCAAATAAGTAGAAAAAAACAATGGTCAGATCTTATACGGGACATCCCATACTATATATGTACTTCACATGAAACCTTTATACTGCAGCATTTTAAAGAGACGGGGTATTAACATAATATAAGATACTATAAAGACCGCATTTTAAATAAGTAGAAAAAAACAATGGTCAGTTCTTACACAGGACATCCCATACTATGTGTGGACTTCACATGAAACCTTATTACTGCAGTGTTTTGGAGAAATTGTATAATATTATATTTCAAAGTGTTATAAAGACCCCAATTTAAATAAGTAGAAAAAAACAATGGTCAGTTATTATACACGACATCCCATACTATATCTCTACTTCACATGAAACCTATTTACTGCAGCATTTTAATTAAATGGGGTATTAACATAAAATAAAGTGCTATAAAGTCCCCATTTCAAATAAGTAGAAAAAAAAACAATGGTCAGATCTTATACAGGACATCCCATACTATATATGTACTTCACATGAAACCTTTTTACTGCAGCATTTTAAAGAGACGGGGTATTAACATAATATAAGATACTATAAAGACCGCATTTTAAATAAGTAGAAAAAAACAATGGTCAGTTCTTACACAGGACATCCCATACTATGTGTGGACTTCACATGAAACCTTATTACTGCAGTGTTTTGGAGAAATTGTATAATATTATATTTCAAAGTGTTATAAAGACCCCAATTTAAATAAGTAGAAAAAAACAATGGTCAGTTATTATACAGGACATCCCATACTATATCTCTACTTTACATGAAACCTATTTACTGCAGCATTTTAGAGAAATGGGGTATTAACATAAAATAAAGTGCTATAAAGACCCCTTTTCAAATAAGTAGAAAAAAACAATGGTCAGTTCTTATACAGGACATCCCATACTATATATGTACTTCACATGAAACCTTTTTACTGCAGCATTTTAAAGAGACGGGGTATTAACAAAATATAAAATACTATAAAGACCGCATTTTAAATAAGTAGAAAAAAACAATGGTCAGTTCTTATACAGGACATCCCATACTATATGTGTACTTCACATAAAACCTATTTACTGCAGCGTTTTGGAGAAAGGGGGTATTAACATAATATAAAGTGCTATAAAGACCGCATTTCAAATAAGTAGAAAAAAACAATGGTCAGTTCTTACACAGGACATCCTATACTATGTGTGGACTTCACATGAAACCTTATTACTGTAGTGTTTTGGAGAAATTGTATAATATTATGTTTCAAAATGTTATAAAGACCCCAATTTAAATAAGTAGAAAAAAACAATGGTCAGTTAATATACATGACATCCCATACTATATCTGTACTTCACATGAAACCTATTTACTGCAGCATTTTAGAGAAATGGGGTATTAACATAATATAAAGTGCTTTAAAGACCCCATTTCAAATAAGTAGAAAAAGACAATGGTCAGTTAATATACATGACATCCCATACTATATCTGTACTTCACATGAAACCTATTTACTGCAGCATTTTAGAGAAATGGGGTATTAAGATAATATAAAGTGCCATAAAGACCCCATTTCAAATAAGTAGAAAAAAACAATGATCAGTTTTTGTACAAGACATTCCATATTTTGTGTGTACATCACATGAAACATTCTTACTGCACTGTTTTGGAGAAATGAGGTATTAACATTACATAAAGTTGTATAAAAACCCCATTTCAAATAAGTAGAAAAAAACAGTGGTCAGATCTTATACAGGACATGCTATTCTATGTGTGTACTTCACATGAAATCTTTTTGCTGCAGCATTTTAAAGAAACGGGATATTAACATAATATAAAGTACTATAAAGACCGCATTTTAAATAAGAAGGAAAAAACATTTGTCAGTTGTTATACAGGACATCCCTCACTATATGTGTACCTCACATGAAAACTTCTTACTGCACTGTTTTGGAAAAGCGGGGTATTGACATTATAATATAAAGTGATATAAAAACCCCATTTCAAATAAGTAGAAAAAACAATTGTCAGTTGTTATACAGGACATCCCATACTATATATGTACTTCACATGAAACCTTTTTACTGCAGCATTTTGGAGAAACAGGGTATTACATAGAAAAAGTACTATAAATACCCCCTTTCAAATAAGTAGAAAAAAACAATGGTCAGATCTTATACAGGACATCCTAATCTATGTGTGTACTTCACATAAAAGCTTTTTACTGCAGCATTTTAAAGAAACGGGGTATTAACATAATATAAAATACTATAAAGAGTTTATTTTAAATAAGTAGAAAAAAACAATGGTCAGTTCTTATACAGGACATTTCATACTATATGTGCACTTCACATGAAACATTTTTACTGCAGCGTTTTTGGGAAACAGGTTATTAACATACGATAAAGTGCTATAAAGAGCCCATTTCCAATAAGTAGAAAAAAACAATGGTCAGTTCTTATACATGACATCCCATACTATGTACTTGACATGAAACTTTCTTACTGCACTGTTTTGGAGAAATGGGGTATTAACATAATATAAAGTACTATAAAGACCCCATTTCCAATAAGTAGAAAGAAACAATGGTCAGTTCTTATTCAGGACATCCCATACTTTTTGTGTACTTCACATAAAAACTTTTTACTGCACTGTTTTGGAGAAATGAGGTAATAACCTAATATAAAGTGCTATAAAGACCGCATTTCAAAAAAGTAGAAAAAAAAATAGTCAGTTCTTATACAGGACATACCATACTATATGTGTATTGTACACATAAAACCTATTTACTGCAGCGTTTTGGAGAAAGGGGGTATTAACATAATATAAAGTGCTATAAAGACCGCATTTCAAATAAGTAGAAAAAAACAATGGTCAGTTCTTATACAGGACATACCATACTATATATGTACTTCACATGAAACCTTTTTACAGCAGCATTTTGGAGAAAGGGGGTATTAACATGATACAAGGTGCTTTAAAGACCCCATTTCAAATAAGTAGAAAAAGACAATGGTCAGTTCTTATACATGACATACCATACTATATCTGTACTTCACATGAAACCTATTTACTGCAGCGTTTTGGAGAAAGGGGGTATTAACATAATATAAAGTGCTATAAAGACCGCATTTCAAATAAGTAGAAAAAACAATGGTCAGTTCTTATACAGGACATACCATACTATATGTGTACTTCACATGAAACCTTCTTACTGCAGCATTTTGGAGAAAGGGGGTATTAACATAATATAAAATGCTTTAAAGACCCCATTTCAAATCTAGCTCTTTCTGGGTAAGCTAGAAACATCCAGGGAGGTGTGTTGAAGAGAGTTGGAGCTAAACTATGCAGGACACCAGCCCTCCAGGACCGAGTTTGGACAGCCCTGACTTAAACGTACCTCTTTTCTCAGTGGTGATGACGATGGCCTCGTCTGCGGGCCCCCAGCCCTGTAAAGTGCGCGCCGTGATCTGGAACACATACGCAGACTCTGGCATCAGACCCGTGACTGTGAACTGCCGGGCGTTGGAGCCCACCTCAACCGTGGTGAACTTGTTGGGGTCGTTGATATCAAGACGGTAAGAAATCTGATAACCTGCAGAAACAAAAGTCAAAACAGCTGGAGTGCATTGTTTTTGTCCACCCTGGTTTCATCTTCATCATCCTGATAATGTAGATGTTGGACTGAAGCAGCTGATATTTATTTACACTGAAGAAAGACAGAGGGTTGCTGGAGAACTACTGAGAGATTTCAGGTGCTGTCTAAGCTTTCAATGCCTTTCTGGACCTCCCTTTCTTCATGTGTTCAATACTTTTTCCCTGCGTCATTTCATTTTACTACACATAACTTCATTTGTAAACTAATTAAATTTGTTTATAGAACATTGTTTACCAACATCCGGTGATAATTTCAAGTCAATAGCACCATTAGAAATATGCTTTCTAAGAAAAGTGGTGATGTGTTCAATACTTATTTTTTCCTGCTGTATACAGTATATAAATATTTATTTACACACATGCATGGATTTATTTGAGAAAATGTATATACTTAGATATAAAATATTTATGCAGATGATACAAATTATATATCCATTTAAATATCTATGTGAAAAAAACGTTTTGTATAGTTTATGTATCACATATACATTATAAATATATAAAACACACATATATCTTATGTCAAAACTTTTATTTTGGATATGATTACTAATCATATAAAATAACAGCCATTAAAATACAGAAACTGACTATAAAATAATGGGCGCTAAATTAGAACAATTTCCTTATTAATACATTTCCGGTAAATTTCTGTTATTTCACGTGTGTTATTTTACTGTAAATGTCTGTAATTTAATGGCTGTTATATTACATTTTTTGTTCCAGCACTCCTGCTGCTGAAAAAAAGTAAAATAACCATTTTTTATACACTGTATATACAGTAGTAAACATCTGAAGTGGACCAAAAAAATATTATGTGAAGTTTTTAAACTAATTTCGAGAGGAGCACGTGATATAATTGACTGCAGCTGGCCACCAATCTACACTCATTAGTTAGCCAATCAAATCTATCCTAACTCACTATAAGTAGCCTAGCTAGATATTACTCCCTTATCTTCGTTTTCTGAAGAAACCCCCCATCCACCCCTTTCTCCTCCTTTTCTCCTTTACAAAAAAGGGGAGCTCTCGAGAACCCCCTGATCTCGTACTCCCCTCACATGCTCTATGGACCTGGCGGGAGCCCTGGACTCAACTATCTCCGAGCTTAGGGTTCTCTCCCGGGACAGCATGCCAAACCTGCTTACAGCTGTCAAGCAATATCTAAGTGTGAACTCTTGAAATGGATGTTGATCAATAGATTTAAGACAACTTTGATTCACTTCAGATGTTGAATACTGTATGTAGATTATTATAAAGTATTTTAACTTTCAACCTATTCTTCATAAAAAGGCCATTATATAGCATCTGAAGACGTAATATATGCAACCATCCGGACTACTTTTAGGCCAAAAAGTTATTTATTTTCTTTTCCAGAGCTTGATGGCGAACATCTTATAACACTTTCAAAATTACAAAAGATTAGTGTCACCCTTCAGGCATAGACAAGTCATACAGTTCAATTCACTCACTTCATACACTTCGCCAGGTGTGTATCATTACAATGGACTAAACATATGAGGCGTCACATTTCAGTTAAATACGTCAGGTCATTATGCGAGTTTGAAACAGCAGCTTTCCTTCATCAGGTTTAATAGTCCTCATCTAACTGCAGACATGCCTCGTTTCATTTTAATGCGGATGCTAAGACCAAAGTGTCCTACCAAAGATTTCCAGGCTCTAACCTGTAAACTCTCGTAAAATCTGGAAGGGTGTCTGACATGAGGTGGTGGAGAGATCGAGAGAGAGTTAAGTATCTAAATGAGGGAATCTAGAGAATGAACTGGAAGCTTTTTTATCTTTGTCACATGGGACGTGTGGTGTTAGCATGTGCCGTTTGGAGGATTAGCACAGCACTACAGAGCTGAGCATGGGTTTAATTCAATGTTTTTTTTCCTCGTCGCCTTGTCTCCTCAGATTCTTATTCACCCTTTCTCTCCGTTTCTCTCTTCTTCTCCTCTCTCTCTCTCTCTGAACGCACAGCTCGCTAAGATCTCCTTTATTAAGAGGCCATCGCTAACCCAAAAAGCCCAGAGGGGCCTATGCAAAATCCTCTGCTTTTCCCGCTTGTTCCTGAGCTCTCTCTTTTGATGGTTTTTCCTTTCTTTCTCTCTCTTTTTTTTTTTTTGCATTACGCTAGAGGCACAAATCAACTCGCACTTTTTTTTCTTTTCCTTTTTTTCCGAGAGCAGCTTTTGCCCTGAAAATGGAGAGGAGGAGGCAAAAGGACAAAAAAAACGGCCAACAATCAACTGGTCAGGCTTTGTATTTTCCCTCATCTATCATGGTAGAGCTGTGACCCGTGCCAGGTGGTTCGGTACTCATTTTTTAATGTCTGGGTTGCTGTGGTGAGAGCAGTAAGGCGTGTAATTGGTCAGATCGTCGCCCCCTCGGTCAGGCACATTTTATTTGTGCGCCCTGTTACCACAGCAATCACTGATCCCTAACCACAGGACACATTATAGCAGACACTCAATGCTAGCTGAGAAGGAGAGACCATTACACAAAGATCCATGGTGCCACCATAAATACCACTGTGACACTTTCATACCAGTCTAATTCCACCTTGAGGTATACTCATATCATATCATATCATATCATATCATATCATATCATATCATATCAATCAATCAATCAATCAATCAATCAATCAATCAATCAATCAATCAATCTATCTGTCTGTCTGTCTGTCTGTCTGTCTGTCTGTCTGTCTGACTGTCTGTCTGTCTCTCTATCTAATCCATCCATCCATCCATCCATCCATCCATCCATCCATCCATCCATCCATCTATCTATCTATCTATCTATCTATCTATCTATCTATCTAAAAAAAAATAATGGGAAAAACAGTGACTCACGAAATATGGAACACGGTAATTAATTTTTTTTTACAGAATAGATCAGGGGTGTCAAACTCAATTCCTGGAGGGCTGAATTTCTGCACAGTTTAGTTCCAACCCTAATTAAACACACCTGATCAAACTAATTGAGTCCTTCAGGCTTGTTTGAAACCTACAGGTAAGTGTGTTGGAGCAGGGTTGGAACTAAACTGTGCAGGGATTCAGCCCTCCAGGAAATGAGTTTGACACCCCTGATCTATTCTGTAAAAAAAAATTAATTACCGTGTTCCATATTTCGTGAGTCACTGTTTTTCCCATTATTTTTCCCACTATGGGACCTTGATCTCTGCTCTGTAGACTACTGATGTTGAAAATTCAACTGTGCGTTCTGACAAACTGACTTCTATTGACATTTTAGTAGTTTGAAACAATATATTGTGTAAGAAATAATATAGAAAATCATTAATTTTCCTAATTTTCCTTCACTTTTGTCTCTACTTTAGAGATCGCCACAACTAAAGGAACCACTAACTATTTAAGCAAATGTTTTTACACAGCCCGATGCTCTTCCAGCCTCAACCCGGTACTGAGAAACACCCTTATACACTGTCACATTCACTTATGTGGGGGAAACTGGAGCACCGCACCCCACGTGAACATGAGGAGAACATGCAAACTCCATACAGAAATGCTAACTGGCCTATCCGGAACTCGAACTTGCAAACTTTTTGGTGTGAGGCGACAGTGTTAACCACTGAGCCATCGTGCCACCTATAAAGAAAACAGTCCATTAAAAAAGTAAATAGTACTGGAAATGTATGACCGTTTTTGCACTATAAATTAAAATAACAAATAATTTACGATATTTGGGCGATATTTCACTTCAAACTATTATTCTGTTAAGTTGTTAGCATTGTACTTGCTAAAATCAACTAAATGTATTATTGAGCGCACTTTGTGCTAGATTACATTTGGAATGATTTAAGCCCCATGCAAACTTTCCATAGAACTTACATGGAAGAAGCATGAAAACTGTGCGTTCGCAGTAAAAGCACACACTTTTTGCACCATTCATCATTTAACCAGAGGAGGCTTCACTGACAAAATTTTCATTAGTTGAAAATTGGATTGGGTCATTTATTCATTTTCTTGTTGGCTTAGTCCCTTTATTTATCAGGGGTCGCCACAGGGAAATGAACCACCAACTTGTCCAGCAAGTTTTTACACAGCGGATGCCCTGCCAGCTGCAACCCATCTCTGGGAAACATCCACACACACACACACACACTCATACACTACGGACAATTTAGCCTACCCAATTCACCTGTACTGCATGTCTTTTCACGGAAGGGGGAAACCACAGCACCCGGAGGAACCCCGCGCGAACGCAGGGAGAACATGCAAACTCCACACAGAAACACCAACTGAGCAGAGATTCGAACCAGCGACCTTCTTGCTGTGAGGCGACAGCACTACCTACTGCACCACTGCTTTACCCTGGATTGGGTTAGTTGAAAATAAATTAAACAAATAAAACCTCCATAGGAAACTGCTCTGTTTAACCATGTGCACTGTTCAAATTTAATTTACTGTTCATGGCTGTTTTTGCCCCATTGACTTCCATTATATCCACATTTTTGATTGCAAAACCATGAGACCATATAATCATGCATTTATGATTGTTGGTGGTTTTCCCTGTTGGGAAGAGGTCAAATTTGTAATAAAAATAAAATAAAAAAAAGAAAGTATAATAATATTAATACAAATGGCTCTGATTTCAGAAAAGAGATATTATATAAAAATGCTACATTGATAAACACACTCAGGTTGTAGACAGGGGTCGGGAAACTTTTTTAACCAAAGAGCCATTTCTGATTTTTTTTTTAACAAATGCATTTTTTAAAAAAGAGCCATTTGAGTATTAGTACTATAAATAATACATGTTTAAACAAAATCTTTATTTTTACCCATGGACAAAAAATAATAATAATAAAAAAAATTAATAATAATAATAATAATAATAATAATATTAATGAAGCATCACATGTTGAGCAAGTCCGAGAATGAAGACAAGAAAAATTTGAGAATTTTTCACCACTGA